TCCAACTTTAGGGGTTGTCTACAATTGGGTTGTCCTCACTCCTAGTCTTTGGGATCCCAATCCAAAAGTGGTTGACTGTACCCACCCTTTGCTCAGAACTCTAATTCCTAGCCCCAGAAGGCTGTCAAATGCAATGCTGAATCTATCAGCTGCCCCTAAGGAATGACTGAAAACAGACCCAAATGCCAAAGTCATTGTTCTTGGCTTTTGTTTTCATGCGGATACTGGGCCTGGTGAGTCTTCACTATCTTCTTAGCTGTACAATGCCTTCAATCAGAGATGTTTTCTTCATTTTGCCAAGTTTCTCCAACTTCCTTCAGGAAGAGGTTTGGTCCTGATTATCAGAAGAGGAAGTCTCCATACCTACTTCTTAACCCAGCTTCTAGACATACTTTCAGGACCATAATTTGCCCAAAGGCAAGGGCACATCTACACATACACAGAAACTGAGCCCACCAGTGTAGATAAGATTGCCCATGGAAAGTGCTAAGATCAGAGACACCAGGGCAAAGCCCTGAAAAAAAGGAACTTCCATTTCAAAATGTAACTCAAAAGAAAAACAGAATGCACTTTCTACCTACTTCACTATTTCAGACTGTTATAGACTGAATTGAGACCCTCCATTCATAGGCTGAAACCCTAAACTCCAATGTGACTATATTTAGAGACAGGGCCTTTAAGGAGGTAATTAAGATTAAACAAAGTTATAAGGGCAGGCTCCTAATCCAATAGGAGACTGGTATCCTTATAGGAAGAGGAAGAGACCCCTGGAATACACAGGCACAGTGAAAAGGCCATGTGAGGACACAGCAAGAAGGCTGCCATCAGCAAGGCAAGGAGAGGCCCCACCACAAAACAACCCTGCCAGCACCTTAATCCTGGACTTCCAGCCTTCAGAACTGTGAGAAAATACATTGCCGTTGTTTAAGCCACTCGATTTATGATATTCTGTTACGGCAGCCTAAGCAGACTAAAACACAAACAGTGCACATCACTTGTACAATGTGGGAAAGCTGACTGGGACGTCATTTGTACTAGAAACACTTCCACATATCCAACGTAATCTCAATCCATTAGCAGGGCCAAACAGGCGGGCTTACACAAGGAATCCCAGTCCAATAGTAACGAATGAGTAGGCAACAAGCTGAAGAAAGAGTCTGGGAAGCAAGGGCTTTGGAGAACAAGTCTTCCCAAACTGTGTTCCCTAAGTCTTCTGCCAATCGTGGCAGAGGGTTGTACAAGTGAACAAGGCGCACACTCACTCACTCAGAACACTCACCAGCGCTCCTTCTGTCATGCGAAGCCTCTCATCAGACTCTAAAATGACTCTACTGCAGTTTCTCCCATACCCCCTAATACCGTTCTCACCACCTGTGAAATCAGAGATCTGTCACGTGCACTGGGCTCGCTGCTCGTGCTCCAGAGCTCTTCAGTAAGTGTCTTAGTCTCTCTGTGGGGTGGAGGCAGCATGGAGCACGGTGAGTGAGCACACACAGACGCACACACGCGTGCCCATCTCAAACCCAGACCAGCGCATCCTGGCTAGTCCAGTGCTACCTCCCTTGTCAGCGTAGTAACCTGGAGACTCAGATACAGAAAGCAGCCTCCCTAGTTCTCAGACAATGCACCAGCGGAAGTGAGCCCTCCCCCTCTCCAGACACCCTTCATGAAGTGGGGCTACTTCTAACCTCAGTAATCTAGCATTTCAGCAGGGGTTTGGGATGGAGGATAAGAAAGTTGTTCATAGATTGCTGCAGAGAGCTACCTGCCATCTCACCCAGCTTCTGCCCCCACTGCCATCACCTGGGTAAAATAAAATAAAACTTAAATTAATTAAAATTTAAAAAGATAGTAGAGTCATCTTTCAGTATCCATTAAAATTGAAAACATACATGTCTTACAACCCAGAAATTACTCTTGTCATCCATCCTTGAAAAACGATCTGCATAAATGCTATACGACCACAAAATCCATCAATAAAAGGAAACCAGATAAAATGTAGCCTATATTTAAACTTTGGAATTTTACACAGCTATTTAAAAGATCAAAGGAGATCCATATGTATTAGAAAGTTTGCCAAAACAGATCTTTGAGTTTAAAAAGCTATGGCATGCAACGACATAAGTGAAAGTCAGAAACATAGTGAGCAAAGGATGGACACAAAACAGTTCATTCCATAAGATTCCATGCATGATTCCATTCGAGATAGAAAAACGGGAAAAACTAATTTATGCTGTTGTAAATCAGGACACTCGTTAACACTAGAGGGTGGGGGTAGTGACGAAAGGGGAGTAAGACAGGGCTTGGTGGGGGAGGGGCTAGTAAATTTCTGCTTCTTGAGCTGGACGCTGATTACACAGGTATATTCAGTTTGTGAAAATTCAGAGCTGACATTTAGGATAATTACTTGTATGCTACGCGGTATTTATTTTATGCTTCAATTAAATGCCAAAATACCATTTTAGGTAAAAAAAAAAAAAAAAAAAAAGTCTATTTCTCTAAGTACTCCTATAGATGCACAGGTAACAATGTCTGGAAGAATACACACCATGGCCTGGCGCAGGGGCTCACGCCTGTAATCCTAACACTCTGGGAGGCTGAGGCAGGAGGATCTCTTGAGGTCAGGAGTTCAAGACGAGCCTGAGCAAAAGGGAGACCCTGTCTCTACTAAAAATAGAAAAAAATGAGCCCAGCGTGGTGGAATGCACCTGTGGTCCCAGCTACTCAGGAGGCTGAGGCAAGAGGATCAAATTGAGCCCAGGTGTTTGAGAAAACACACCAACCTTAAAAGGCTCTCCTTTGGAGGGGAACTCAAGGGTCAGAGGTAGTAAAGGAGATCCTGGTTTTATCTGCAGCATGTAAATTTCTGCAATTACTTAATAAATGTGTTATTATTTGTATAACTAAAAACGAAATTTAAAAAGGGAAAAAAAAGTTAGAGCCAAAATGATCTAGACTCCCCCAACTACACCCCAGGGAGACCCTTGGGTGAAGGGAGGTTTAGGTGTAGCTTTTCAGGGTAGGGAAGACAGAACTGCATTGATGGCCCTGCAAGACCCACCCCCAGGCAGAAGGTTCACAGGAAGGGCCAGCCAGGTAGGAAGAGAAACCTGAGTTCACCTCTCTAACTCTTCTGGACCTCTAGTTTCTAAGCCCCAGAACAGATGAGCCTTGAGTCCCCATGTCCTTCATGCACAGAGAAGCTGGCCCTCTCATGAACCCCGGGCCACAGGGCTTCCCTCCAACCCAATGTCAAACTTTGTTGAGAAGGAAATTCCCAAAAAGCACATAAAATAAGAGAACCTTAAATCATGGCTGCCAACCTAGGACTCTGAGAACTCATGCATGCTTCCTGAATCAAGGGACACATCATAATCAAGTTGGGGATAAAGGAGGAGGAAGGTTGTCAGTGACACTGGACATTCATTAAAAGGCACTATCCTCATACCTGAAAACACCATGCACCACACTGCACAAGCCAGAAGGAAAAAACATCTTGGCATCAATACTGGAGAGAGTCAGTTTCCAATTCAGCCTCCTGTTTTAATTGGTTCAGATCTGGAGGAAACAGGGACCCCTCCCTCTCCTCAGATGGACAGACAACAGCTGGTCTGGTCACATCCTCGGAAATGCTCAGCCACAAACTGGGGAAGCAACCTCCATCCTCCAGCCAAGGGCTTGGGTTTCCAACCAGCCTTCCTTTTCCTTCTCCAGAACTAATTTTAGCCTCCTTGGTTGTCAGAGTGGAACTGAAATAGTCAGCAGAGGAACATTTGCAAAGAGCATGAGCTTGCCTCACAAAACACCTCAGCTCCAGCCCACAAACCGGCCAGGGAGGAGAAGCCCCATTGTCCAGCAGGCCAGGCCCCTCCAGAGAACATTCCCCTGGCAGGAGGGCCACACATCTGCCCAGTGAGGCAGGCTTCCTTTCCAACACCCACTTCCAACGATCACCTGTCTCTGAATGAAAACACCCAGCTGGAGCTGCCAGTCCCAGAGAGGATCTGAAAAAAGCACATGTATGTGTACAGCAAGCCTGGAATAACCAGCATGGAGCTGTCCAAACGCAGGAAGCCATTATTGGTCCTGGGCCAGAAGGAGGCACAGCTGAGCCCTGAACAATCCCAGCCTGATTTATCCACTGATTTCCAGTACTTACCATTGTCTCAGACAGAGACATCACTGGCGAACTTAATAAACAAAGACTCAGAAGAAGGCAGCAGCGTTTCCTCTACCCAACAACCTAGGCATCCAGAAACAGCACCACCAGGACAGCAAGGACAGGTATCTCTGGGGATGAGATGGACCCATGAGTCTGGTGGAGAATGAGAGATCAAAAAGGAAGCCCGGAACAAGGGGATGGGTGTCTGTTTTGGAACAAAGAATTGGTGATAGAATCTGAGAAGGCAATAAAGTATCCTTTGGAAAGACTCCAAGAGCTGGAACTAGGAAGTCTCAAACCCAGCAAGCATTTCACACACCAGTGATGGGGAGCACTTGGAAACTGAAGCTTTTAAGAATGCTTCCTCCAGGTGGGTATAGTGACTTGTGCCTGTAGTCTCAGCCACAAGGATCACTTGAGGCCAGGAGTTCAAGACCAACCTGGGGAACATAGCGAGATTCCATCTCTTGAAAAAAATATGCTTCCTCCTACCCTAAGAACCCAGTTTGTAATTAGTTCCCAGTGCAGCAAGCTGTCTCACTAAGTTCAAGATCAGAGAAGAGTCTCCCAGAAAGCCCTAGCTAGCAAAGATCTGAGTAGACCAGAGGAGGAATAGAAAATAAACACGGGGGTAGCCACGGGGGGCTGCCAGCCTGCAAAGCCCGACAGACAGGTTTCTGTAGACATGGACTACTGCGTCAGGGTCTCCAGTGCTGACCTGTCTCGGGCAGTGCTGCTCACCACACCTCCCCAGGTCCACAGGAAGAAGCCTGGCCCTGCCCTCAGATTCCAATCTGACCACCACACCCCGAGAGAGGGGAGAGACTTGCACCCATACCTTTGTGGAGAGGCTGCCCACCTGCCCTGGTGTCCCTGGCCTGGGGGTTCCAGGCCCACAGCCGCTGGGGCTCCTCGGAGTGCCACACGGCAGGCCCGCTCGGGGGGAAGGGCATGCCTGTGTCTTGCTACAACCCCAGCACTCCTCTTGGCAGGCAGGGCAGCCTCAGGTCCTGAGGCTTGCAGGTGAGTGGAGAGGGGGTGCTGGGCAGGCGGAGAGTCCCCAACAACAGGCACTTCCTGACATTCTGCGCGTGCAGGAGGGAGAGAGGTTCGAGTGCCAGCCTTAAGGCAACAGTCAGTGGCGGGTGGGCGGGTTCGGACAGGCAGGCTGCCCAGCCACCCATAGCCACCGCCTCCCTGAAACCTGAACCACTTCTGGGAAAACTCAAGGACGCCAGGATTCTCCTCCCTGGCAGGCAACATACCAGAACTACTAACTTCGAACCAAACTCTCACACGCTGAGCAGGTTTAGTAAAGCAGGAATCCCCTGGCTTTGAAGAGAATCCAACCTCAGACTTTGAATCCAAAAGGGCGTGGGATGGATGTGCATTCAGAAGCCATCACCCCCACCTCCCGTGACTGTCTACCTCTTTAAAATCATGAGAACATTCTAGATCAGTGGCTCTCAACCTGAGACAATTTTGCTCCATATCTCTGCCAGGGACATTCAGCAAGGTCTAGAAACGTTTTCGGTTGTCATGATTAGAGAGGTGCTACTGAAATTAGTGGGTAGAGGTCAGAGGTGCTGCTAAACATCCTACAAGGCACAGGACAGCTCCCCCTCCTATTCTACCCCAACACACAACAAAGTATCATCAGACTCAAAACGTCAATAGTGCCAAGGTTGAGAAACCCTGTTCCAGAATGAGACTCATGCAGCCAGGACCCTGCCTCAGGGCTATCTAACCAGAGCTGCTCTCAAAAGTATTATCCAGACTCCCCCTCCACCCCTCTAGATCCCAGTGCATGATGACAAGTCAGTATCTCCCAGTGGGTCTAAACTCCTGACCTGATGCTCCTTGGTTCCCACTTGTACCACCCTGAGCTCCCAAGCAGGGGGCTGAATGCATAGGCATTCTGGGGGTGGCTCCCTAGAAGAGACCAGGGCTGAAATCTGAACACTGGGCAGGAAGGATCACAGAAGGCAGCAGTAAAGGAGAGGACATGTCTGGTGGCCAGAACAGGGTAAGTGAGGCAGCAAGGTGGGAACAAGCCCAGTGAACCCCTCCCCACCAGGACAAGGTGCCCCTCAGGACTGGTACAGGGGATATGTGCAGGGCAGCAGAGACTTCAAGGAGTCCAGTGAGGGGACAACAGGTTTCTAGCATTAGTGCAAAACAGCATGTGCACACAATGTACATGCACACATATACTTATTTATACTTATTTATTTTCCTGAGGGAAGAGCACAGCTTTCATCAGATTCTGAGAAGCCTATGACATAAAGGACCACTGTGGGCCGGGCGCTGTGGCTCACGCCTGTAATCCTAGCTCTTGGGAGGCCGAGGCGGGCGGATTGCTCAAGGTCAGGAGTTCAAAACCAGCCTGAGCAAGAGCGAGACCCCGTCTCTACTATAAACAGAAAGAAATTAATTGGCCAACTGATATATATATAAAAAAAAATTAGCCGGGCATAGTGGCGCATGCCTGTAGTCCCAGCTACTCGGGAGGCTGAGGCAGAAGGATCACTCGAGCCCAGGAGTTTGAGGTTGCTGTGAGCTAGGCTGACGCCACGGCACTCACTCTAGCCTGGACAACAAAGTGAGACTCTGTCTCAAAAAAAAAAAAATAAATAAATAAAGGACCACTGTGTAGGATGCAGGCTCTTCACTGGGCTCCCTGCACAGGGAGCTCCTTAGATGAAGTGTCAGAGGAGGTCAGGTGCTTCTGGGGAGTCCCGATACCCAGGAAAACCTGCAGAGCACTACACACAGAGGTCCACCCAAGCAGTGGGAGGCTGTGGGGCTCAGATCTTACGTTTTAGCCCAGCTGTAGGGCCTGGAAAGATGGGCAAGTTTCTCATATCATCTGTCTTGGAGGGGCCTCTAAGAGTTGGGGAGGGTGCCCACTCCTCCCAAAAGGCAGTTCAGCCAGCCAGTCAATGCAGATCCTGGAGTGCCCAGCAGGTACAAGGACAGGTAGCAGAGGACACCCTTCCCTAGAGAGGGGCACCTACAGCCCACAGCTCTGTAGCCCATGTCTTTGGCAACTACCACTACACTGGGCCTGAGGGATGACGGTCACTTCGCTCACTCATTCACACACAGGCCCTTCTCTGAGGAAATGGAATGTACACGCAATGTGTGCATGTACATTGCGTGCACACACTGTTTTGCACTGATACTAGAACCAGTTGCCCTTTTACTGGACTCCTTGAAGTCCTTGCTGCCCTGCACACATGCCCTGTACCAGTCCTGAGGGGCACCTTGTCCTGGTGGGGAGGGGTTCACTGGGCTTGTTCCTACCTTGCTGCCTCACTTACCCTGTTCTGGCCACTGGACATGTCCTCTCCCTTACTGCTGCCTTTTGTGATCCTGCCCATTGTTCAGATTTCAGCCCTGGTCTCTTCCAGGAAGCCACCCCCTGAGTGCCTACGCATTCAGCCCCCTGCCTGAGAGCTGAATGCTTTGGGTCAAAGAATGGCCAGCCTATGAGGGTAGTCAGGGGCTGCGCTTCCTCGCAGGACAGACAGGAGTCTGGTCCCCCTCCCAGTCAGTGGCTCCTGACAGTCCACTCAGAACATAGCTCCACCCGGCCCCCGTAGGCCCTCTGATCTGAACCCCAAGTACAGAGACAGGTGTCAGGAGCTCTTGTGAGATACACAGAGTGTCTGTGATGTCCACTGAACTCGAGAGCCAGATGGCCTATTTCTCAAAGAAGTGGGCCAGGCACAGACCACAAAAGACTTAAAGAACTGACTGACTACTGATCTTGTGACGAGCACCATGTCATTATTACGGCATAAACTTGGCCTTTCCTTCTAGGTCTGCACTGTCCAATATGGTAGTCACTAGCCAACTGTTGACTATGGAACACTTGAAATACAGAAAGTTGGAGTTGAGATGTTCTATAAATTAAGATACACACTGGATTTTGAAGACAGTACGAAAAAAAAAAGTCTCATTGTTTTAATATTGATTACATGCTAAAATGATTATTTTGTATAGATCAGATGCAAAATAATCATCCTGCTTCATTATAGAATGTTTGTGTCCCCCCCCACCCCAAATTTATATGTCCAAGCCCTAACCTCCAATGTAAAGGTATTTGGAGACCTCTGAGAGGTAGTTAGGGTTGGAGTAGATCATGGGGCCATTAGGTCATAAGGATGAGATTACTGGTCTTAAGAGAAGGAAAGATAAGCGTCTCCCCCTCTCCCTCTCCCTGTCTCTTTCTCCAGCCCTGTCACGGAGGAGGTGGTGAAAAGGGGGAGGTCTGCAAGCCAGGAAGCGGGCCCTCACCAGAACCCAAGCCAGCACCTTAGTGTCAGACTTACAGCCTCCAGAACTGCGAGAAGATAAATTTCTGTTGAAGCCACCCAGTCTACAGTATTCTGTTATGGCAGCCAGAACTAAGACACAGCTGTTTCTTTTTCCTTATATTAACATGACTACTAGAAAATTTTAAGTTATGTAGCTAGGCACAGTGGTGCATGCCTATAGTACCAGCTACTCACAGGTACCCAAGAGGCTGAGGCAGGAGGATCGCTTGAGCCCAGGAGTTTGAGACCAGCCTGGGCAACATAGCGAAACCTCATCTCCTAAAAAAAAAAAAAAAAAGACAGACAAGTTTAAGATATGTATAGTTCGCATAACATTTCTGTTGGACAGCACTATTCTAGATCTTCTTTCTATCAGAGCACTGTGTGCTGCAGGAGGTAGAGGTAATTCTAAACAGGAAGCTAGAAGCTTGAAAGAAGGGCATCCTTGCTGCCAAAGGAAGAGAAGGGCCAGCTCTGCCCCAACCTGGACCTGGGGCAGCTGTCTTCCCACAGTTCCACACAGGGCAGAGTAGTGGCCACCAGAGGACTGACTGGTGTAACCCTAAGAAACACCCTTACTCTACCTTCCTCCCAGGGCAGGAACGCAGATCCTTGGAGTCTGACTCTGGCTGCCCCCTAGCAGGATATACTGCTCAGCACTGCCCTGGCTAGAAGAGGGCAGCAGAGGAAAGAGGAAAGAAATAGTCCTTTCAGGGGCCCAGTGCCTCCTGGCCCTGCCTAATGAAGGAGGTAAGACAAACTGGAAGGGCCCAAGCAGGTCCGGAGGCAGCTAGGTGGGCTGCTGCATGCCTGTTAAGCAGCTTGCTGGCCGCCCTCCCTTTAGCAGGCCCACGCCTTCCCTGGGGCGTGGAAAAAGCATCTCAAAGGGAAGGGGGCAGAAAGGAACAAAAAGTTCAACAGGACCACCACTTCGCCTCCAACGCACAGGAAACGGCTCCAGGAGAGCAGCGACGCCACCTCCTGCAGGGTCCTGAGGTACCAGTGAAGTGAAGCGGTCTTTGCCCTCTCTCTGGTCCCAGCACTCAGGCTATGCGCTCCCATCCCCACTCGAAAACTCACTCGCTTTAGGCGTAAACTAAGCCTCGCTACTTTGCCAAGGAGGGGGCAGAAATGAAGGTGGGGATGGGATGGAGATCCCGGATCCCCACCCCCGCAGCAGCCGGGGGACCCGAGCCCCGCCCCTGTACACCCAACCCCGCCCCTCGCGGGTTTCCCAGACTCCGGGCTGCTGCCACTGCGGGCGGCGGGGGACCCGCGCTGCATGTGTAATGGGGGCTGGGAACAAAGACGCGCAGGACCTGGCGGCCGGGCCACCGGGTAACAGTCGCCCCGACCTTCTCGCAGGAGCGTCAATGCCGGGCTCCCGACGTTTCCCAAGACTGCCTGGAGCCGTCCCAGCGCGCCCACCTGGGCTGCGCGCACCCTGGCACTACTCGGAGAGGAAAATCGGTGCTTCGGCCTTGAGGGAAAACCGCTCTCCCGGGGGAACTCCGCGTGCATCCACCCGCACCCACATACCCCCAAGAACACGCGCGCCAGCCAAACACCCCCTACCATACGACCGCGGCCCGCCGGCGAGCTAAGTGAGGGTCACCCACCCCCGCCACTTGCCTCCCCAAGGCCAAGCGAACGCGGACCTGTTGGTTTAGCTTTTTACGCCACCTTCCCTCCCAGGTGCCCAAAACAAAGCCGTCCCGCTAGGCGACGGCACTCGGCATCCTGGGCCCACCGCAGGGAAAGCGGGAGCAGGTGGGAGCCAGCACCAACAGCCCGCCGTGGGGGAGACGCGACGCAGACTGGTGGGATGGGGTGCAAGGGACTCCTCTGGGCAGTGTGAAGCCGCCCCCGTCGCCTCGCTCTAGTTAGTGGCTCAGAGAGACGCGCAGCCCTGTCCCCACCGGCCACTGCTGCACCGACAATCCCTACCACCCCCGATTAGATGCGCCCACCCGCTTGGCCGCCTTCCACACGCTCAGGTTTTCCTTACTCTCTCCCTGGGTTCCACGCGCCCGCGTAGCCTGAACCCCGACCCTCAGGCTCCGGCTCCTGGCCTTCATCTCAGGGGCGCATAACGACCCAGAACCCTTCAGACCACCGCACACACAAGACCGTCCCCCCACGATCGGCAAGCCGGGCGCCCAGTGCGCCCCCAACTCCCGCCCCGGGAGGTGCGAGCTGGGTGCAGGTGGCACGGCGACGAGGCCGCGGGCCCGCCCTTTGTTGGTAAACACCGCGCGGCGCCCGCGGCCGGCCCGCGCGCCCTCCCCGCGCCCCGCGCCGCGCCCCGTCCTTACCGGCGCACAGCGATCCCCAGAGGAGGGCGAGGGCCGCCCAGGGCGCCGTCATGTTCCGCGGCGCCGCCCCGCGGACACCCGGAGCCCGCGGGCAGGGCCGCACGGCGCTCCCGGGGCGCGCAGGGCCCGGCGGCGGCTGTGCTCTCCTTCCCGCTCCTTCCTTCGGTCTCGTTCCCCGCGCGCTTCCCGCGCCTTCGTCCCCGGGCAGCGTTCGGGCTCCAAGGGCCGGTCGGCGGGGCCGGGCTCAGGGCCGCTGCGG